GTATCCTGGGAACAAGTATGTCTTAGTCATGGTCTTACTAATGTATCCTGGGAACACGTATGTCTTAGTCATGGTCTTACTAATGTATCCTGGGAACACGTATAAGAACATAAGAAGAAGAACATAAGAACGAAGGAACACTGCAGAAGGCCTACTGGCCCATGCGAGGCAGGTCCAAGTCCCTACCGGCTTAAGCCAATGCACCCAACCTAGTCAGGTCAGGTCACATTGACTTAAGGGAGGAACACGGCAACCGACCTGTTAGCACAAGCTATCAGGTCTAACTCACACCCACCCACATCTACTCATGTATTTATCCAACCTATTTTTAAAGCTACACAACGTTCTGGCCTCTATAACGGTACTTGGGAGTTTGTTCCACTCATCCACAACTCTATTACCAAACCAGTACTTTCCTATATCCCTCCTGAATCTGAATTTTTCCAACTTAAAACCATTGCTGCGAGTCCTGTCTAGGCTAGATATTTTCAGCACACTATTTACATCCCCTTTATTTATTCCTGTCTTCCACTTATAAACCTCAATCATATCCCCCCTAATTCTACGTCTTTCTAGAGAGTGCAGTTTCAGGGCCCTTAGTCTATCCTCATAGGGAAGGTTTCTGATACATGGGATCATCTTTGTCATCCTCCTTAGTCATGGTCTTACTAATGTATCCTGGGAACAAGTATGTCTTAATCATGGTCTTACTAATGTTTCCTGGGAACAAGTATGTCTTAGTCATGGTCTTACTAATGTATCCTGGGAACACGTATGTCTTAGTCATGGTCTTACTAATGTATCCTGGGAACAAGTATGTCTTAGTCATGGTCTTACTAATGTATCCTGGGAACAAGTATGTCTTATAATAAAGTTGGTAGAATTACCGACAATATGTAAAGTAAAAGGACACAAGTGCAACTAATGTGGCATTTATTGTGGTAACGTTTCGCTCTCCAGGAGCTTTATCAAGCCATTACAAACAATACATGGACACAGAGGGTATATAAAGGCTCAGAGTGAGGTGAATACTAGTGAGGTACCATTTCGATGTTCACTAGTGGTAATAGTAGTAGTAGTAGTAGTGGTAGTGACAAAAGTAATACAATATGGTAGAGCAATTAATTCGTACATGAGTATTCACCTCACTCTGAGCCTTTATATACCCTCTGTGTCCATGTATTGTTTGTAATGGCTTGATAAAGCTCCTGGAGAGCGAAACGTTACCACAATAAATGCCACATTAGTTGCACTTGTGTCCTTTTACTTTACAAGTATGTCTTAGTCATGGTCTTACTAATGTATCCTGGGAACACGTATGTCTTAGTCATGGTCTTACTAATGTATCCTGGGAACACGTATGTCTTAGTCATGGTCTTACTAATGTATCCTGGGAACACGTATGTCTTAGTCATGGTCTTACTAATGTATCCTGGGAACACGTATGTCTTAGTCATGGTCTTACTAATGTATCCTGGGAACACGTATGTCTTAGTCATGGTCTTACTAATGTATCCTGGGAACACGTATGTCTTAGTCATGGTCTTACTAATGTATCCTGGGAACACGTATGTCTTAGTCATGGTCTTACTAATGTATCCTGGGAACACGTATGTCTTAGTCATGGTCTTACTAATGTATCCTGGGAACACGTATGTCTTAGTCATGGTCTTACTAATGTATCCTGGGAACACGTATGTCTTAGTCATGGTCTTACTAATGTATCCTGGGAACAAGTATGTCTTAGTCATGATCTTACTAATGTATCCTGGGAACACGTATGTCTTAGTCATGATCTTACTAATGTATCCTGGGAACACGTATGTCTTAGTCATGGTCTTACTAATGTATCCTGGGAACACGTATGTCTTAGTCATGGTCTTACTAATGTATCCTGGGAACACGTATGTCTTAGTCATGGTCTTACTAATGTATCCTGGGAACACGTATGTCTTAGTCATGGTCTTACTAATGTATCCTGGGAACACGTATGTCTTAGTCATGGTCTTACTAATGTATCCTGGGAACACGTATGTCTTAGTCATGGTCTTACTAATGTATCCTGGGAACACGTATGTCTTAGTCATGGTCTTACTAATGTATCCTGGGAACAAGTATGTCTTAGTCATGATCTTACTAATGTATCCTGGGAACACGTATGTCTTAGTCATGATCTTACTAATGTATCCTGGGAACACGTATGTCTTAGTCATGGTCTTACTAATGTATCCTGGGAACACGTATGTCTTAGTCATGGTCTTACTAATGTATCTGGGAACACGTATGTCTTAGTCATGGTCTTACTAATGTATCCTGGGAACACGTATGTCTTAGTCATGGTCTTACTAATGTATCCTGGGAACACGTATGTCTTAGTCATGGTCTTACTAATGTATCCTGGGAACAAGTATGTCTTAGTCATGGTCTTACTAATGTATCCTGGGAACACGTATGTCTTAGTCATGGTTTTACAACTCTGACGCCTCACTGGGAGCTCTGATTTAATAACCAACATCATCTTTTTCATTTGTATAATGTTGTAAATTATAGTTTGTCTATTATATACGTTAACTGACGAGCAGGTGATCAAGTAATACCTGCTGGAAGTCTTACTTCACTTCTGAGATGCATCTACATCATTTAAGAAGCAGTGGTAGTTTATTCTTGGGTATCTACCACTTGCTGGCTTACCCCGCCACTACACTCACACAATGATAATATCTCTGGAGAATTACACTGAGCTATAGCTCAGTGTACCTACAGCTGCAACTCAGTGTATCTATTCAGTACATAATGACACACACAAACACACTCCTCACACTATATATTATTGTGGACCTGGTCTCTGCTAGCATGTGAGAAAACTGAGATCAGTGAGAAACAAACGTTAAATATTAGCCAGAAAATTGACGTGAATGTCCCTGTGTGTACAGTCATCAGTGACTGTCACTTGAGGTCCTCCATCTCGGTGTACAGTCTTCACTGACTGTCATCTGAGGCACATCGTCATGTGTACTGTGTACAGTCTTCAGTGACTCATACGAGGGCCTCCATCTCTGTGTACAGTCTTCAGTGACTGTCACTTGAGGTGCCTCATCCCTGTGTACAGGCTTCAGTGACTGTCACTTGAGGTGCCTCATCCCTGTGTACAGTCTTCAGTGACTGTCACTTGAGGTGCCTCATCCCCGTGTACAGTCTTCAGTGACTGTCACTTGAGGTGCCTCATCCCCGTGCACAGTCTTCACTGACTATCACTTGAAGTGCCTCATCCCCGTGCACAGTCTTCACTGACTATCACTTGAAGTGCCTCATCCCCGTGCACAGTCTACACTAACTGTCACGTGAGGTCCTCCATCTCTGCGTACAGTCTTTAGTGACTGTTATACAAGGTGCAGGCAATGCCGCTGAGTTACGAGTCGCATATCTAAACAGACCGAAAATATTTGCGATATCTGGTTATTTGTATACCGATAAACACGGCTTAGAAAGACTAATAAGCAAACACTAGGACATATTTATTAGACAACGTTTCGGTCCTGGGACCTTGATCACTTCTAACACACAGAGGTTAAAAAGACAGTATATATATACGGAGAATGTGAGTAACACATGGTGACCTGAACATTGACATAATGGGATGAGGACAGGTAGACAATGTGATCATGTGTTGTTAGGTAAGTGGTGCTCTGCCTGGTTGAGTATTATGTACTATGTATCATGTATGTTTTAGAAGTTTTGTAGTTTCCAGTACCAGAAACTACCAAGATTTATACCTCCAATAGCTATGTGTCTCTCAATGTGTATATAATTAAGCTCCTATTTTAGGGATTAAGGTATTCTTTACTAAAGGTGTACAGAGTTTTTCTGGATTGAATTTGTGGTTTCCTATTGACAGTCTTGCAAACGTGAAGCCATTACCCAGTGTTGTAAGTCGTAAGAGTAGTGATGTGAGGTACATAGTGATGTGAGGTACATAGTGATGTGAGGTACATAGTGATGTGAGGTACATAGTGATGTGAGGTACATAGTGATGTGAGGTACATAGTGATGTGAGGTACATAGTGATGTGAGGTACATAGTGATGTGAGGTACATAGTGATGTGAGGTACATAGTAGTGATGTGAGGTACATAGTGATGTGAGATACAAAATAATGATGTGAGATACATAGTAATGATGTGAGGTATATAGTAATGATGTGAGATACATAGTCGATAATCTTTAAATTTAATTAAGTAAGCTTCTTAGCTGTGAATTTTTGCGTAATTAAGAAGAATTTCTTCCTCCTGCAATTTGTCTTTCAATTTTCGTTTAAATCAGAACTAAATATTTACCTATTAATTTTAAGTCTAACCTAATCATATATGATCACCTGTGCAGGCGCAGAGAATCTTTCATGTTGTCTTCGTAATGCAACTATTCAGAACATCGGAAGTTTTAGCATATCTAAGGTTCTGACCAAGTTAATTTTATAGGTCAGTATATCAGGTGACCTGATATACAGTACAACACCTGTCTTAAACACATGTGACCTTTGACTGCATACACTCTGATTTTTTTATGCTCTGTATTGAACTGAAGAGGTTCCTGGTAGGCGAAACATCTCAAATAAGAGTTCTGCAGTTGCATATTCTTGATAAAGGAAAAACGGCATGACTTTCTGAATTATAACACAATATAAATTTTAATATTACCTGGAGTTTACCTGGAGAGAGTTCCGGGGGTCAACGCCCCGGTCTGTGACAAGGCCTCCTGGTCAAAAGTTATTATGTATATAAGCTTATGTGTGGTTAACGTAAGTGGAAATATCTTACAAGTAAAATTTTCAGAATGCATATCTCGTAGTTTGCAGCCACAATAACAATACAAGGATTTTTTTTTTAGATTTAAGGACAAAATCTACTTGTGCACTAATAACAATTTTCTTAAGTATATGTGCACATTTATGCATCTCGGTGCATGTATCTCTGATTGTTTTTTGAGAGCAATGAACAAACCTACCTTCTAATAAGGGAGCTTCCCGACCACTGAGGTATCCTTGGGATATCCAGAAATATTTATCTACTACGTGGCAATGATGCCGTGCTGCTATGCATGTTACACTCCATCACCATCACCAAGTTATCCAACTTTCCCATACTACCTAAGAAGTCAACAAGTGATTATTGAGAAAAACTACATAGCATATTACATGAATTATCACATCCTCCGTGTTGGAGTTCATTGGTTAGAACCTAAAGATTCAAAATACATAGATATGTATCATACAATGTGGGGTTATACGCCAGTGGTGTATTTCCCAGTAAAATACCAACATAATACAGGAAGCCTCACTCTTGTAAACACACACCTGTGACTTAGGAGTTTCCACGATGTGCTCACCACTTTATCAATCACAGTAAATTAATCTGGCCCAGATTAGAACAAAGTGTTGTTTGCCTTTATAAATACATTGAACTTCACTGGTTTAAAAATTGTAAAGGGAAGGAGGTGCCTTGATGAAGGTGAAGGTACTTGAATCATAGAACTGAAGGCCCCATCTGTAAAATCTGATGACCTCCCATTCTCCAGTCGCTGTATTACCCTTTCGGGTTTAGTACTTACGCAATAATAATAATAATAATAATAATAATAATAATAATAATAATAATAATAATAATAATATTAATATTAATGTGGATGTGTATGAGGATGTCTTACTTATTTTGCGGATGCAGATGCATATGCGGATATGTTTACAGCAAAATGTGGATGCATATGCGGATATAAGACATTGTGTAGATGTTCCGCGGACGTTGATATCCGATACATCTCTACTAGACAGTACTAGACAGTACAGATGTATCGGATGTGGAAATTTAGATATCCGTGGATGCGGATGTGTATGAGGATGTCTTACTTATTTTGCAGATGCATATGCAGATATCTGTTTACAGTAAAATGCGGATGCAAATTCGGATATCCGATACATCTCTAGTACCCATTCTGGAGACCGCTGTAACATGTCGGCAGGACCATGTCAAACCCAACCCATCTCACCACAGTTGTATCTAGGAATAACTTAAGAAACTAGCTATTTGTGGTGATATAGTGTAAATTTATAAGGTGACATTGAAAGATGTCCTGTCAGCAGTGGAGCTTTGGTCTGAGAGTCACAGAAAAGAGTTAATGGTGTTGCAGCGTGGCAAGTGCTGGGAACAGATTTATGGTGGTTTTTGCCGTACCTGATAAATAGAAAATGGCAAATAACAAAGTGGGAGATAGGTCCTTAGCTTCAAATTATAGACCAGTCATCCTAACCTCGATTGTGGAAAAGTTGATGGAATCAATAATTGCTGATCCAATCTTAATTCCATCAACTTGAAAGATATAATCCAATCAATGAATCTCAACATAGTTTTACAAAAGGGAGGGGGGTCTTGGCTTACGAATTGATTAACTTTTGTTTCACAAGGTATTCGACGTGGTAGACCAAGACAAGGCATACGATATTGTGTATATGGACTTCAGTAAAGCCTTTGATAAAGTTCCATGCAGGAGACTGATGAAGAAAGCAGTGGCACATGGAATAGGAGAAAATATCTCCTGGGTCGAACCATGATTGACCGTAGGCAACAGTTTACATTAATGGGTAGAAATCGAAATGTGGACCTGTTACAAGTGGTGTGCCACTGCGTTAAGTGTTGGGGCCCTTGTTGTTCACAAATTTACATAAACGACTTTGATGAGGGAACAAATAGCTACAGAAGCAAATTTGCGGATGACACATAAATAGGTCGTCAAATAATTTACGATGTGAACACTAGAAGGCTGCAGAATGGCCTGGCTAGGATGATGTTATGGTCGGAAAAGTGGCAGATGCAGTTCAATGCAGGCAGGTGTAAAGTTCTAATGTTAAAAAAGGCATAACTATGGCACTTGCAGGCTAAATAATATAAATCTTAGTAAAGCTGAACAGGAAAAAATCTAGGTGCATAAGTGTTAGCAATAAAGATAATAGAATTTTTGGTTTCATGACAAGAAGAATAAATAATGGAAGTCTAAGGTTATACTTCCACTTTATATTCCTTTGGTTAAACATTCTTTAGATTATGCTGCTCAGTTTTGGTCCTCATATTACGGAATGGACTTGAATGAACTCGAAAACATACAGAAGATGGAACTGATTTCATATATTAGAAAATTTTCCTACGATGAAAAGTTTTTCAAACCATTCACCACAACTGTCAGATGAAAAGTTGAAGGGAAGGAGGGTTAAAAAAAACTTTTTTTCTTATTTATCCAATCTCAATGAAATTTTTACTGTGATTTAAACAGCATTTGAGAAATGGACACCGTGTTTATAGTGACTTTTGTCTCAAAAGATAAAGAAAAAATAATAGTGCCCTATTTTATAGGGTATAATACAAAAATAATAAAAATATTGGTAAGATGTAGTGTTCTAGTTGACATCAGATGAAAGATAAAAGTCTAAATAGGAACCAAACAACAAGCTTTTGACTCAGATGTCAATAGATTGCATAATAAAAAAATGAAGTTTGTCTTTTTTTTAAGATTGTTTTTGATACAATAATCAGTAACAAAAACAGTAAAGTATATTGCAAATATTTCGTTGTCCCGTTCTAAAACAATGCTAGCCCCAATGTGTGAGAAAAATAATGGAATTCTGTCAAATAGTTTTCGCAATACGATTTTTGAAAGATCAACTTATTCCTGAGAAAAAGAGGAAGTACATGTACATTTTCTGTAGAAGTCTTTGGGATACCGCGCGCCAGACTTCGGCGGATCACCTCCGTTCCTTACTGCAGCCCACAGGCGACTGAGCAGCTCTCAGAGCACTAATATGGAGTCAACAAAGATACCATGTTGAGTATTTGGAGAGAAACAATCATAAAATTTTTAAATTTTTAGTAAAAAAAAGAAAATACACTAGAATTGGTATCATGTCCTCTTGATGACAGAAAAGACAAAACAAACATTTTTAGAAAAAAGATACTTAGAAATATAATAGAAACAAGCTGACTACATCAACGTATTGCCAGAATTATGTACTATTTTTCGGTAAGATTTTTTTTTTTTTCAAAAATTTTATTTTTTTTCCTGTATAAGCCTTCCCTCTCTGAAGGCACTGAACTTCCAATCTTTGGAAAGGTGTAGAATTAAAGGAGATATGACTGAGGTGTCCAAATGGAAAACAGGAATAAATAAAGGGGATACAAATAGCATTTTGAAAATATCTAACCAAGACAGGACTCACAGCAAAGAATTCAACCTGGGAAAATTAAGATTTAGAGAGGATATTATTAAGTCATTTGGGTAGCTTTAGATATAGGTTAAATGAGTACATGGGTGAGGGCGGGTGTGAGATGGACTTGCCAGGCATGGTCAGTAGGCCTGCTGCAGTGCCTCGAGAGGTCACCTGTATTTACATCTCCAAGTGTCGTGTGGAATCTGACATTTAGTGTACAGATTACATGCAACTTTAATGATCCTCTTGTCGAAAAGCTTGAGATACAGTGGGTGAGTGGGTATGAGTTGGACCTGACTGGATTGGGCTAGTAGGTGACTTCGTCTTGCCTAGCATATGCCAGTAGGCCTGCTGCAGTGCTCCTTCTTTCTTAAGTTCTTATGTAAAGCAACCCATCAAGACTGACAAATCAGATATGGTTGTCATAAATAAAAGAGGTTATTTAAAGATTAAGTTTATAACTCTTCATTTATTTTAATACTATGTAGGTATAATATATAAATGTTTACATGAAGCTAAAATAACAAGTGAAGGATAACAGATCCTTCAATAACTTCCTACATGCTCTTTTTGGCTTAATTATATAATAATGAAAACTCAAAAATAATAATAATTAGAAATATTGTTATTTCCACTACTAGCAAACTAAAAATTGTAAAACATGTAATTAATTGGAACAACACCATGACAAAAACTAATACTTATGACACAATTAAAAAAAGTACAAACATGACTTCACACATTAAGTTAGGTCTATATTCACTGGTTTTACTTATAAAGGTATCTAAATTCAACCAGCAATGTGCGGAAATACCATTATTGTCATGGTGTAACTCATCTTGGCAGGGAAATATTGCAAATTTGAGTTCTCTGGGCATTGCCTCTGGGCATGACTACGCTGCTTGAAATAACGATGGGTAACCTACTGTTGTTGTTTAAAGCAACTTACTGAACAAGTGAAAAGTTTACAATCAATTCAGTGAAATGTTACATGAAGATGACATTGTGTGGTATAAACCTTGGTAATAAATACCAAGTTGGTTTAGAAAAACACGTAAGCAAACACTAGGACATATTTATTGGAAAACGTTTTGGTTCTGGGACCATAATCAAGATTTTTCTAATATGTCCTAGTGTTTGCGTTCCTGTTTGTCTCAACCTTGTGTGCTTATAGTCATCCTCCGAAAAAATCTTAATGTCCTCAGTAGGTTGCTTGATTTGTTCCATCAAATTCTCGAATTAAATCGAATAAATAGGCTCCCAGCATTTCTTGCATAGCTATATCCATAGACAGAAAACTGTTAAAGTTTGTATAGTAAATGCATATATATGTTCCCATATTCTATATAATTTTAACTTTCACAAGAGAGTATAACAATCTATTATCTTAAAATGCTCATCCACGGACTTTCAGCCATGAGTATATTAATAATAAAATAAGCAATATTTATGATATTGCCACTAAATATAAAATATCGTAGTCTTCATAGATTTGAAGCAAGCCAGTAAAATATTTTATAAAACAATATTCAAAATACAACAACAGCTCTTCCACGTACAGAAAAACCTTAATACATTATCATTCATATACTGAAAAAATCAACACAAACTTTGTCTTAAAAACTTCGGCAAGATTAAGAAATATATAAATTTCCCGATTTCTTCACCAGGATGAATGTACTATTTTACTGCAGATGGAAATAGCGCTATTAATCATATATTGACATATACATTGTACCAGTCATCACTTTCGTTCTCTGTTCACACATTTCCAAGGTAATGGACATATATTTAAAGAATTTGTATATATTTTGGTGGGCAGAGCTCTCTTGATGTATGTTTACTGCGAGGATCTCTGCATGCACACCTGGAGGCATATATGTGAATTTATACACACCTTGAGTTTATTTTAATTCCAAAACGTCCATATTCTGGATTAAAGTATTTTCAACTGATGGTAAAAAGGCCACACAGTGTTAATGACGCTCTTGTGCCAATAAGCTAAACTTTAAAATCAATTAACAAGTCATTTGACCGAAAAAAAATCTAAAAGAATATTATAGAATGAATAATATGTAACAAAGATATATCAATGTAAATTATAATTACCAACAAGCATAATCTAGAATGTGTGAACAAAATATCGAAGATACAAAGAGAAAAATGTTTATCAATATTTAATGCTAATCTTGAACATGGTGTTTCATTCAATGAGCAACATCATTACTGTAAGGTTATGTTGTGAGTGTTTAAGCAAGTGGCACATTTTTTTGGAGCCTATTAATGATGGAATGGTAGATACAACTACCACATCTACGTCATGATCTCGCCGTTGCAGAATTGGATAGTAATATCTCTCACAAATATGTTACTAAGTTTGGCGTAATCAGAAATGTTTTGGGCTGGTTTATCATTCAGGATAGCTGGTCGACGGTCGAAAGGGAAGCCCATAGGGCGTTTGTCCGGGTACTTGGCGTTCTGGATCCCACAGAAGGACACTCCGTTGACACAATTCGGTCCTCTGCTGACACTCCTCTGTTCTTCCACCTGTCAGGGAGAATAGAGCACTGTATATTGTATAACACTAATTCATTACAATTTATTTTTAAAGAATGATAGGCTGCATCCATAGATTTTTAAACCATGCTGAAGAGTTCCTGACCCAAGGAACTTGAGTTATCCTTCTCTCCCATGGATTAAGCTTCATTGTCTCCCATTTCTCTAGTGTTGTATAACCCCGTAAGCATCACATAATAATTAAGAAGACTAAAGGGAAGAACGTCAAGGATGCGCTCACTCTCACAGGTAAGCCAGCGGTCACAGCTGCGGTGTCCTCCCCCCCCCCTCCCAATGATATCAGCTACCCTGCCGGCACCACTGGATGTGTCATTGAATGTCAAAGATTCGAGTTAGATTTTTTCCTTACTAATAACTTAGACGACAATAAGGATACATCATTTTGACTTATGAAATTGGAATGACACGAGTGACAACTACTGACCGAATAGAGCTTTAAAACCTTAATACCCCTCTTTCGTTTTCTGTGACCAAAAAGAGGTCAGCTGGCGAAATAATTAAGCTCTTTGAAAGAGTTATATATAATATTAATACAATTAGATGTTTCAGTCGCTAGACAGCAACTACCCAGGGAGGTACTATCGTCCTGCCAAGTGAGTGTGAAACAAAGTCCTATAACTCTTTTCATGATGGTAGGATTGCTAGTGTCCTTTTTTCTGTCTCATAAACACACTGGATAACAGGTATATCTTGCTACTTCAACTTACACTTAGCTTACACTACACAGGTATGCACATGCATATATATACATACAACAATATACAAAATACTGCGAGGAATTGACAAGGTGGACAAAGACAAGATGTTCCAGAGATGGGACACAGAAACAAGGGGTCACAATAAGAAGTTGAAGACTCAAATGAGTCAAGAGATGTTTGGAAGTAATTCTTTAGTCATAGAGTTTTCAGGAAGTGGAATAGTCTGGCAAGTGACGTAGTGGAGGCAGGAACCATACATAGTTTTAAGACGAGGTTTGATAAAGCTCATGGTGCAGGGAAAGGACCTAGTAGCGATCAATGAAGAGGCGGGGACAGGAGCTATGACTCGACCCCTGCAACCACAACTTGGTAAGTAAAAACACACACACACACACACATACTCATATATGCACACACACACATACACACACACATACACACACATACACACACACACACACACACAGGATGAGGCAGGACTACAAAGAGACCTGGACAGGCTGGACATGTGGTTCAGTAACTGGCTTCTCGAATTCAATCCAGCCAAATGCAAAGTCATGAAGATTGGGGAGGGGCAAAGAAGACCGCAGACAGAGTATATGCTAGGTGGACAAAGACTACAGACCTCACTCAGGGAGAAAGACCTTGAGGTGACCATAACACCGAGCACATCACCGGAGGCACACATCAACCAAATAACCGCTGCAGCATACGGGCGCCTGGCAAACCTGAGAATAGCGTTCCGATACCTTAATAAGGAATCGTTCAAGACACTGTACACTGTGTATGTTAGGCCCATACTGGAGTATGCAGCACCAGTCTGGAACCCACACCTGGTCAAGCACGTCAAGAAGTTAGAGAAAGTACAAAGGTTTGCAACAAGGCTAGTCCCAGAGCTCAAGGGAATGTTGTACGAGGAAAGGTTAAGGGAAATCGGACTGACGACACTGGAGGACAGAAGGGTCAGGGGAGACATGATAACGACATACAAGATACTGCGGGGAATAGACAAGGTGGACAGAGATAGGATGTTCCAGAGAGGGGACACAGGGACAAGGGGTCACAACTGGAAGCTGAAGACTCAGACGAGTCACAGGGACGTTAAGAAGTATTTCTTCAGTCATAGAGTTGTCAGCAAGTGGAATAGCCTAGCAAGTGAAGTAGTGGAGGCAGGAACCATACATAGTTTTAAGAAGAGGTATGACAAAGCTCAGGAAGCAGAGAGAGAGAGAGGACTCAGTAGCGATCAGTGAAGAGGCGGGACCAGGAGCTGAGTCTCGACCCCTGCAACCACAATTAGGTGAGTACACACACACACACACACACACACACACACACACACACACACACACACACACACATACAGCAGGCCTAGTGTCTAATCGACATGTGCCTAGGACAAAAAAAAAATGGTAACTAACACATCAAGGTTTTTCTTCTTAATAGTTCTTGTTCTAATTTATTTCTTCTTATCTCCATAGGGAAGCGGAAAATAATCTTTCCTCCGTAAGCCATGCGTGTTGTGTGAGGCGACTAAAATGCCGGGAGCATTGGGCTAGTAACCCCTTCTCCTGTAGAAACTACTAAAAAGAGAGAAGAAAAACTTTATAAAACTGAGATGCTTGAATGTGAGTGGATGTAGTGCGGATGATAAGAGATGATTACTAATGTTATGAATAAAAAGAAGTTGGATGTCCTAGCTCTAAGGGAAACAAAGCTGAAGGGGGTAGGGGAGTTTTGGTGGGGAGAAATAAATGGGATTAAGTCAAGAGTCTGAGAGAGTTAGAGCTAAGGAAGGGGTAGCAATAATGTTGAATGATCAGTTATGAAAGGAGAAGAGGGAATATAAAGGTATAAATTCAAGGATTATGCGGATTAAAATAAGGATTGTATGTGAATAGTGGGTCATAATAAGTGTGTATGCACATGAACAAGAGAGGAGTGTAGAGGAGAGAGAGAGATTTTGGGAGATGTTAAGCGTGTGTAGGAACTTTTGAACCAAGTGAGAGAGTAACTGTGGTAGGAGAAACATTTAGAGAGGGTGTGGTAGGTAGGTTTGGGGTGCCAGGTGTAAATGATAATGGGGCCCTTTGATTGAACTTTGTATAGAAAGGTGTTTGGTTATAGGTAATACTGTACATATTTTAAGAAAAAGAGGAAAAATAAGTATACAAGGATCGGTGTAGGGCATAATGACAGTAGTGTGTTGCACTAGGTATTAGTAGATAAAACTGTTGGGTAGACTTCAGGATGTACATGTTTATAGAGGGGCCACAGATATATCAGATCACTTTTTAGTTGTAGCTACAGTGAGAGTAAAATTTAGATGGGATACAAGGAAAATGGAAGCAACAAGTAAGAGAGAGGTGAAGGTTTGTAAACTAAAGAAGGGGGTAGTTAGTGTAAGATATAGTAAGGGTAGAGGCAATGGGGTTGAAAATGTATGGGGTAGGTTGACGAATTTAGTGTTAGTGTGTTCAGCAGAAGTTTGTGGTTATAGGAAAGTGGGTGCGGGAGGGATAAAGAGCAATTTGTTTGATGATGTAGAGAGAGTAGTAACAGAGAAAAAGTTAGCATATAAGAGGTTTTTACAAAGTAGAAGTGATGCAAGGAGGGAGGAGTATATGGAGAGAAAAACAGAGGTTAAGAGAGTGATGAAGCAGTGTAAAAAGAGAGCAAATGAGAGTGGGTGAGATGTTATCAACAATTTTTTTTGAAAATAAGAAAAAGTTTTGGAGTGAGATTTATAAGTTGAGGAAGTCTAGGAAATGAATGGATTTGATAGTTAAAAATAGGAGTGGAGAGTTTGGTTTGCCTGCCCCCCTTCCCTCTCATCTGCGACTGCTTGACAGAGTAGAGGACAGAGCAAGACGTCTCAACTCTCGCCTGGACCCATCCTGGATAGATCTGTCATTTCAGCAGAGCCTTCAACACAGGAGGGATGTGGGTGGCCTTACTGTTATGTACAAGGCCAATATTGTCAAAATACCACACTTGGATCCACTTCGAGGACAGCGTGAAACAAGCTTCTATACCACAAGACGGGCAGAAAGCAGCAACTTCACTCTGGCTGTACCCTTCTCCAGAAATTCACTCCATCTGAGATCCTATATACCCAGGATGACTCGAGTATGGAACACATTCGTACAGCATAATGATGTCAACGAGATAAAGTCAGTTGATCAAATGAAAATGCTGGCCCACAGATGGCTCCAACTTCATCCTGTTCCCTACTTGTATGTCTCATAACAATAAAAATGCTTTCAAATGAGCTGATGTAGGTAACAGCTCTTAGCTTGCCAATAAAGTTAGGAATCCTTAACCTGTAAATAGCTTGTCAATAAAGTACTGCCCCGCTGTTATCCGTAACCTGTTGCTCATCCATCTCCCTTTTGCCACCTGATGCCCTCGCTTCCTTCCTGCCCTGCAGCGCTGTATAGTCCTTGTGGCTTAGCGCTTCTTTTTGATTATAATAATAATAATTGTCAATAAAGCTAGGGATCCGTAATGGCTTGATAAACATGAAATTTATTACCGCCCAATAAGCCTGACCTCAACTGTAGGCAAATTACTAGAGTCAATTATAGCTGAGATTATAAGAAGCCATCTCGATAAGCAAAGCTTGATTAATGATACTCAGCATGGATTCACAAGAGGCCGGTCTTGTCTAACTAATTTATTAACTTTCTTCAGTAAAGTTTTTGAGGCTGTTGACCAAGATCAAGAATTTGATATTATTTACTTAGATTTTAGTAAGGCTTTTGATAGAGTTCCGCACCAAAGACTGTTAAAGAAAGTGGCAGCTCATGGCACTGGGGGAAAAGTGCTCTCGTGGATCGAGTCATGGCTCACAGACAGGAAGCAGAGTGTCCATAAATGGGGTTAAATCAGAGTGGTGATCTGTAACAAGTGGCGTTCCACAGGGATCAGTCTTGGGCCCGTTGTTGTTTATAATATATATCAATGATCTTCGTGAGGGAATTACTAGTAATATGAGCAAATTTGCCGATGACACAAAGATAGGTAGGATAATTGATTCAAACATAGATGTTAGGGAACTTCAGGAGGATTTAAACAAACTCTATTCTTGGTCAGAAAAGTGGCAGATGCAGTTCAATGTAGATAAATGCAAGGTTCTGAAGCTCGGGAGTGTCCATAACCCTAGCACTTAGAAGTTAAATGATGTAGAACTTAGCCATACAGATTGCGAAAAGGACTTGGGGGTTATGGTGAGCAGCAACCTTAAACCAAGACAGCAATGCCTAAGCGTACGTAATAAGGCAAATAGATTACTGGGATTTATATCAAGAAGTGCAAGCAACAGAAGTCCAGAGGTCATACTGCAGCTTTATACATCATTAGTAACGTCTCACCTAGATTATGCAGCTCAATTCTGGTCTCCATATTACAGAATTGACATAAATTCGTTAGAAAACATTCAGCGTAGGATGACTAAATTAATACATAGCATTAGAAATCTTCCTTATGAAGAAAGATTGAAGACTCTTAAGTTACATTCACTTGTTAGACGAAGAATGAGGGGAGACCTGATCGAAGTGTATAAGTGGAAGATAGGTATTAATAAAGGGAATATTAATAAGGTCTTGAGGATATCTGTCCAAGAGAGAACCCGCAGTAATGGATTTAAATTAGATAAGTTTAGATTTAGAAAGGACATAGGAAAGTATTGGTTTGGAAATAGGGTAGTTGGTGAGTGGAACAGTCTACCTAGTTGGGTTATTGAGGCTAGGACTTTGGGTAGTTTCAAATTTAGGTTGGATAAGTACATGAGTGGGAGGGGTTGGATTTGAGTTGGACTTGCATATCAGAGCTAATTTCTTGGGCAGCACTGAAAATTGGGTTGGGTAAATGTTTTGTTAGTGGGATGAATTGTAAAGGACGTGCCTAGTATGGGCCATCAGGCCTGCTGCAGTGTTCCTCCTTTCTTATGTTCTTATGTTCTTAACCTTGTCAAACCCTGTGTAAAAAAAAAAAGAAAAAGAAAAAAAAAATAGAGAGAGGTATCGGGAAGATGGAGGGAATATTCTGAGGAATTGTTAAATGTTGATGAAGATAGGGAAGCTGTGATTTCGTGTATAGGACAAGGAGGAATAACATCTTGTAGGAGTGAGGAAGAGCGAGTTGTGAGTGTGGGGGAAGTTCATGAGGCAGTGGGTAGAATGAAAGGGGGTAAGGCAGCTGGGATAGACGGGAAAAAGATAGAAATGTTAAAAGCAGGTGGGGATATTGTTTTGGAGTAGTTGATGCTTTTATTTAATAAATGTATGGAAGAGGGTATGGCAGAGAGCATGCATAGTTCCTTTGTATAAAGGCAAAGGGGACAAAAGAGAGAGCAAAAATTATAGGGGAATAAGTCTGTTGAGTATACCTGATAAAGTGTATGGCAGAGTTATTATTGAAAGAATTAAGAGTAAGATGGAGAGTAGGATAGCAGATGAACAAGGAGGCTTTAGGAAAGGTAGGGGGTGTGTGGACCAAGTGTTTACAGTGAAACATATAGGTGAACAGTATTTAGATAAGGGTAAAGAGGTTTTTGTGGCACTTATGGATTTGGAACAGGCGTATGATAGGGTGGATAGGGGGCAATGTGGCAGATGTTGCAAATATATGGAATATGATGTAGGTTATTGAAAGCAGTGAAGAGTTTTTACGAGGATAGTGAGGCTCAGTGTAGAGTATGTAGGAGAGAGGGAGATTATTTCCCAGTAAAAGTAGGCCTTAGACAAGGATGTGTGATGTCACCGTGGTTGTTCACACACATTTATAGATGGGGTTGTAAGAGAAGTGAATGCTCGTGTGTTGGCAAGAGGTGTGGGGTTAAGAGATAAAGAATATAACACAAAATGGGAGTTGTCACAGATGCTCTTTGCCGATGACTTTGTGCTTTCGGAAGATTCTGAAGAGAAGCTAAAAAATTTGGTGGATGAGTTTGGTAGGTTATGTAAAAGAAGAAAATTAAAAGTGAATATAGGAAAGAGTAAGATGATAAGGATAAAAAAATTAGGTAATGAAAGATTGAATATTAGATTGGAGGTAGAGAGTACGGAGGAGGTGAATGTATTCATATATTGGGAGTGGACGTGTCAGCAGATGATTCTATGAAAGATAAGGTGAATCACAGAATTGACGAGGGAAAAATAGGTGAGTGGTGCACTGAGGAGTCTGTGGAGACAAAGAACTTTGTCCATGGGAGCGAAGAGGGGAATGTATGAAAGTATAGCTATACCAACACTCTTATATGGGTGTGAAACATGGATGGTGAATGTTGCAACAAGGAGAAGACTGGAGACAGTGAAGACGTCGTGTCTGAAGACAATGTGTGGTGTGAATATAATGCAGAGAATTCGTAGTTTGGAAATTAGAATGAAGTACGAGATTAGTAAAACTATTCTCCAGAAGGGTTGTTGAGGTGGTTTGGACATGCAGAGAGCATGGAACAAAATAGAATGACTTCAAGAGTGTATAAATCTGTAGTGGAGGAAAGGCGGGGTAGGAGTCGGCCTAGGAAAGGTTGGAGGGAGGGGATAAAGGAAGTTTTGTGTGCGAGGGGCTTGGACTTCCAGCAAGCATGCGTGTTAGATAGGAGCGAATGAGGACAAATGGTTTTTAGGAATTGATTTGCTGTTGGAGTGTGAGCAAGGTAACGTTCATGAAGGAAACCAGCAGGCCGGACTTGAGTCCTGGAGATGGGAAATACAGTGTCTGCACTCTGAAGGACGGGTGTTAATATTGCAGTATTATAACTGTAGTGTAAGTATGCTTCAGGCAAGATGGTGATGGAGTGAATAATAATGAAAGTTTTTCTTTTTCAGGCCACCCTACCTTGGTGGGAGACGGCTAATGTGTTAATAAAAAATTTTTTCAGTCGCTGCTTGATCCAAGAAAGACATTCATCGTAACCAGTAACCCCAGCCCCCTCTACCTCAATACTCGTTTGACATACTATTTGTACCATAAAACCCTCACAGGGCAAAAGGAGCTGTAGGCCAAGTATCGTAAGAGACCCAGGAGGTATAGGTCAACCCTCTCAGCTAGACAGTAACGCCGTAAGTTAGACAAGAAATATCTTAACAGGTCGCGCTAGTGACTGAAATATATCTACTTTTAGAAAGAACCTGAAGTCTCGATGTATATTTGTGGTATGTGATACCACAACACGTTTTACAAAGACAAAAATAATAGAAAAAGTAACAGAGACTTAGAACATGAGGTGTTCTAAATAATCAAAAGTGAACCTTGTTACTTCAGAGGTACAGAAATTTATTCATAAAATATGCTTAAAGGATAATTGTCACCTTAAGTAATTGCATTTTTAAATCCTCAATTACTGCAAAATTTCACTTTATTTCAATTCAGTTCAAAGTAATAATATGCAGTATAATATAACCACACACCACACATGTACAAAATGCAGGGGAAATATTTAAAGTAATTCGATATTTGCAAAGATGCAGCAAAGATATTACTGTTGTATCTGACCTTATCGTTTTCATAGTCTGTGAGCATGACGAAGACCTGGAACTGCGCACCCTCAGTGTTCCTCGGGGAAGCAGCAGGTGAGCGGGCCAGCCACATCCACAGTAGTTATTTGCAGAATCGTCATTTCCTTAGGGTGAAAAATAAAATAAGATTTGTTCATATTTTTTATCCGGAGGATTATCCATCCCGGATAACCCAAGAAAGTCAGTGTGTCATCGGGGACTGTCTGTCTTACTTTCATTGGAGTCCTTTATTTTTATCACCCAGGATGCGACCCACAACAGTTGACTAATAATTCCAATGTAATATAAATAGTTTGGCTGATCAGCCTCCTGTTTCATCACTTGAGGATCACATATTGCATCTATATGAGTTGTGGAAAATTTTGATAATTTTCCTATGATTTATATGTAATAACTAGCAGGAATAATAATATTTATATAATACTGCAGGTGTGTAATGTTGATGTGACTTTTAAAAGATGTTAGGACACAAGGGAACCACATATCTCCTATAATTTCCTTATTGTAATAAATTTAATTAAGTAAAGTGGAACTGTTGTAAGTTTGAAATAACATTCTGATAAGGAAAATATATTACACACCTAAAAATATTGCTAAATTTAAATAAAAGTATGTGTACAGGATAGGAGAGTAGAAAGAGAAACAAAGATGGCGGTACAGGAAGCAGACTAACCGGCGATTTGGCGAATGTTTTCGAAATAACAGCATCCGTTAGTAATATTAGCATACAATTAAATGTTACAAGATCAGTGAAGAGGAAATGCATCTGGAAAGGTCCAAATATATAATGAAATGAAACCATGAAGGATGATATTGATGAAAAACAGGTCGCAATACCTGGATGTCACCATGTTGGCCCTACCGTGTGCATCATCCAATATAATTTATGTATGCCTCCCAGTGTGTATTACCCAACACGACAGGTAAGGTTGGTAAATGTTGGTCAGTTTTCTATTTGCTTTTCTTGTGAGAAGCATTAGGATATATCACTAAGGTAATAGCTTAGTAAGTAATAATATATGTTCTTCACTCAGTTGAAATAATGTGCTTAATAATTGAAAAAATAGATCAAATCAAATCTACTTATCTTCTATAATAATACAGCCCACTTAATAGCCAATTTTACTAGCGTTAATTTTCATAATAAACAAACAGGAACCATATGTTCCTAATCCTGAGTCCCGGAGTTAGTTGGGGATTTGAGACGTGGGCACTGAAGGAGGGACATTATTTGTGACCCCAGTGTCCATGAAGTCTCCAAGATACATCAATATGGGTAAGTTACAATTTGTTTTTGTGTGAGCTCTCCCCAGTGGGTGGGTGGAAAGTTTATTCGAGATTGTATCTCATTGGTCTCAGACCGAGCCGCGGGGGCGTTGACCCCCGAAGCCCTCTCCAGGCCTATTGTGAAAAATCTCCCACATAATTTCTAACACGAGTACATAATTTCTAACACGAGTCATTATGGCTGTAAGTCACCAGTATACCATCATTTTTAAACATATATACACTGAAAAACATAGATCTCTGGGAGAAAGCTTTGGGGCCCAGTCCCTGGACCCATTATGTACCTCCGTAATCTTTTTAACTACTGCCCACAGTGTATGCCCAGCTGGGTTCATATTTCGTGTCATGCTGGTGATGCCACCTATAGGCCTACCAAGCTCAGCTCACACCACCCTTCCTCTTCCTCACTCTGGCAGCCAACGTCACTCAGACAACAACTCCACTCCTCCACTCTCTCGTGGGCATGGCCCTCCGGTAGAAGACCCCAAATAAAATAACATTGCCTGCATAGAGTATCATTCATTCCCATTTGTAGATACGCATGCAAGTAATTACAATGTCGGTGGCAAGTGGCGGAAACAGAGGTTGTGTTTGCCCAGAGAGAGGAAGCCAAAGATGTTGTCTCTACTTCATCACCCCATACAAGAAGCATCCATCTCTCTACGTCTACGAGTTGTCCTGAAGTCGTGTCTGCAAGTTTCATCACTCAGACACAGAATCAGCAGGATCCATGCCGAAATTTGCTGAATTTTCCCCGAGAAATCTTCATGGCATCACTTGGGTCTTCACAGCATCCCACGCTGTTCTTCAGTCAGATGTCGAGCATCACCTTTGTGTTTCTGCTGTTGTTTTCAGCTCAGCATGGCTATTTCAGCAAGTCAGAGGTGAGTTTGTGTGGTGCTCTGCATCCAGTGTGGTTGATTCTCCAAGTGGGTATGTGGGGTGCGGAGGAAGAGACCGGATCCTCCCTCGCCATACACCACCCACACTCATCTCACACCACTATGCTACTCACTGCCTCTCTGCTGTTTTCTCTTTGAATTCAGTGTGATTCTCACTAGAGCTGTGTATCCAAGTGCCCAAGGTCACTCAAAGCCACATGGATCACGAAGCCACGTGTGGATAAGGCCACATGGATCTACAACCCATGTGGAGCAAGCTACGTGGGTTACCAAGCCAAATGTTCAAAGCCATGTGCTGTTTACCACCTGATGCTACCTTGTGACGTCACCCCCTGATATCACCATGCTGCCTGACATTCCACATCACCTTGCTATCTGACGCTACCATGCGATGTGCTGCCCGATGTTACACCAGGCTGTCACCCATGACGTCTGCCCAACGTCACTCATGACGTCTGCCCAATGTCACCCACAACATCTGTCCGACGTCACCTCGTGACGTCTGCCTTGGATGTGTGTCCCAATGTCACCCTGGACGTCTGCCTGACATCACCCCAGGACATCTGCCCTGACATCACCCCACGACATCATGCCTGACATCACTACATGATGTCACATTGACAGTGTTAGTTTCACAGTGAGTATTACGCATTTAGTATTGTCCAGAACGATTGAGAGAAGACGTGTCACGCAGTAGCGGCTCGTCCATAGGAGATGCAGTCCCCTAGATGCTCACAACCAGACGGAAGACTTCATCAGCCTTATGCTAAAATAATTTGCAACTGATAAATATATTACAGGAAAAAATGTGTTGTATGTTATTTTCAGTGTATTTATAAGCGATTTTTTTTATTTTTTGTTGAAACGAGATAAAAAAAATTATTAAAAATAGAAGTCTGATGCTGTACGATAGTATAAATATTACTGGCGTTACATCTGGCAGCAAGGAGCTGCATTCGATGCAGCACACACCCAGTTGCAATAACGTTTATTATGCTGTTCTATGAGGCTTGCAGTCCCCCCATTCTATTTTTTGACGAGCCGCCACTGATGTCATATGTTAATTCCTCTCATTCAGTGTTCCTTTACTAGTGTTCTCACATTTTTGTAAATGCCTTAGTGTCGAATTTTGCACAGAAAAGCATCATTTGCTAGTGCAAACCATGTTGTAACTGTATGTGTAGTGCAGGTGTGCAGTTTTCCATGTGTCACGATATGTGGTCTGAGCCCAGATGTGTGTGTAGACCACAGTGTGGTCTGAGCCCAGACCATTGGTAGCACTCTCGTCTTACATGTTACCTTGTTGTTAACATACGATGAGTGACACTAGTCAGTCCAGGCACAATTACGAGTGTTGATCCCCTGTGTACAGAAAGTTCTTTTGCTCGCTGCTTGTAGATGCCATGCCTGAGTCATACCTGCTACGATTCCCCATTGAGACTTGTTTCACTCCATCTCCTGACCATCAGAGTGCAGTTATGTGTAGAAAAGCAGTCTGAGGATGATTAGACTAACCTCTGCTATGACTCCAACTCTGTTGAGAGGATGACATCTTCAAGCCATAGTAGCTCTTTTGGCAGGCAACTGTGACTCTTGTCATGGCTTCAGTGAGCAGCCTGCAGAAAGATGATGTTGCTTTGACTGCTAGTCCACTCACTCCAGTTACGATGTATACTGCTACAGATATTTCGCATGAGTTGTCCCTGCTGCGACTTGCTCCACTCTCACTGGCAGTGGCAGCCCCAGCGACAGTACCAGTTGAAAAATTTCCTGAGTCACTTCTCAGAACATGCCCTGCCCAGTTGCCAAGTACTAATGATGCCTCACTCAAGGGCACCAACAGGCTATGCCCCAGGTTGAGTGAGCCCTGCAGCAACCACTATAATGACTGCTTCAACATTCCAGATGAGATAAGACTCAACTCATATCATGCTTCCTCTGCCTCACTCTGGCAGCCAACATCACTCAGACAACTCTACTTCGTCCCTCTCTTGCAGGCAGGGCCCTTCGGGCCTGGGCCGCCGCAACACACTGCGTGTGTAGGAGACCCCGCAATAAATTAATGTTGCCTCTCTGAAGAGTGTCATTCATTCCCGTTACCAGATCCACACAGGATGGGTACGGGGTGCATAATAAAGATATTAAACTACTGGGAGAATTTACCCTTGAAAGTGTCTCATCACCCACCCATGACCCACTAGCTCAACCCACCTACCCATGACCCACTACCTCAATCCACCTACCCATGACCCACTACCTCAATCCACCTACCCATGACCCACTACCTCAACCCACCTACCCATGACCCACTACCTCAACCCACCTACCCATGACCCACTACCTCAACCCACCTACCCATGACCCACTACCTCAACCCACCTACCCATGACCCACTACCTCAACCCACCTACCCATGACCCACTACCTCACTTTAAACATTCTCTTAACTCACCTGCAGAAATATTATTCATCTCACTCATGGTGAAATCATTGGTATTGACGATGGAAGAATCCTTGGAACTTCGTTCAAATTCATTAGTCTCAGGCGTCACTGTTGAAAGACGAGTGTATACATCAGTAATAATAATTTATATAACTTATAACACATTTTTTTAATATTCTACATAAAAAAATGCCATTTCTACATAAAAATACATCGAATTTACTGAAAAGCTATTTTTTGAAAAATAAATAATAGTAAGATTCTAAGATGAGAAATCTGTAAAGATTCTGAACCTAATGAAAAAAAAACATATTTCACTGTGCTTGTTATTAATAAATTATATATATATATATATATATATATATATATATTATATATATATATATATATATATATATATATATATATATATATATATATATATATATATATATATATATATATATACATATATATATATATATATATATATATATATATATATATATATATATATATATATATATATATATATATAGAGAGAGAGAGAGAGAGAGAGAGAGAGAGAGAGAGAGGGAGGGAGGGAGGTACCACCTCTAGAACTGGACTGGGGACCCTCATCCTCAAAGAAGACAATAAACGTACCTCAGGTAAAACTCAAGGTTCTCCCTGGAGCTGTTTGAATATTTTCTTCTACTACCCCTACATTTTATATTATATATGTACTTAATTAATAGACAGGATACATTGATAGAAAACACAAACATTGGTACAATGTATCATTGGTACAATATATCAAAGGTTATGAATCTCCTCCAGCTCTTCCGAAGCCAGACGCGAGCCCAGTATGCAGCATGCATTTCCCCTCTGGATGGCCACTCTGAGGTGCTGGAACATGAAAGTGGCTGCCCTTGGGTCCCTGGTGGTGTCGATGAGCCTGGAACCCAGTTCTTTAAGGAAACGTGTGGCATGTTTTCCCCATGATCCCAAGGTCTCTGATCCCACTGGGACAAATTGATACTGTTGGCTTATGTCCCTGTACTTGCTGATCTTGTACACCTCCCTGTGGTCAGCAGCTCCTCCCTGTCGCCCCACACTGTGATGGATATAGGTGTCAGCCAGTGTGGACACACAGGTATAGTCCCATGCTAAGAGCTTGCCATTCTTCCAAGGATAGATGGTGATCCCGTCGGGGCGATTTGCTGGGTTGTGGGTATTTTTGGCTGCTAGTGATTGGGGCTCCCTCTCGGCTGGGCATCCAGCTGTAGCAAGGGTTCTCTTTATGATGCCGTTGACCTCATTGTGTCTTGCATGCCAGCCCTTGGTTTTGGAACAGTTAAGACCATGTAGACCATATTGGTCAGCTTGCGCATCGCCGCAAATACACGTAAATTCCGTATGGATTGGGGCAGCAAGGCGCAGAGCCATTGTAATACGGACGGTCTTAGGGTCGAGGCACGTTCCCATTGCCGATATGGGAACTCTGGAGGAAGTCGCCGGAGTGAGGTGTGCTCACAGCTTGGAGAGAGGCAATCTCCTTGTCTGATGTTGCAGCCCTGAGCATGTTGGCAAGCACCTTATCGGCGATGGGGCCATCCCAGCTTGACTGTAAGCCAGTGCTGCACTAGGGTTTGGTGCTGGAGCAGCAAGAGTCTCCCATTCAGTAATGGCACTGGCATAGTTAGGGTCATGTATATATATATATATATATATATATAAGTAGTGAAGAAAGCGGCTGGGGGGTCTCCTCCGGAAAAAGGCATGCGGCTGGGAGGTCTCCTCCGGAAAAAGGCATGCGGCTGGGAGGTCTCCTCCGGTATAGGGCCTTCCACTGGGAGGTCTCCGGTTTAGGACCAGGAGCTGGAGGGTCACCTTTTCACACCTAGGTGTTACTTCCGGTTTGACCATGACCCTTCGCCCTCGAGACTACCTCACCCTTGACCCCCCGAACCAATACCCCCACCCAACGACCCCCCCCCCCCTTCGCCACCCCCGCGCGCCCGCCCCGCGCGCCCGCCCGCGCGCCCCGCCCGCGCCCCCGCCCCGCCCGCGCTCCCCGCCCGCGCCCTTTCCGCGAGCCCGGCCCGCGCCTTCCTGCTGCGCCTTCTGCCAAGCCGTCGTCCGGATCGCCCCCCGCGCCTCGAATTTTTTTTCTTATGAATCCGTTGATCCAGGTTTTTGGAGTCCCCCCGACGGGGTGTCGGAATTTTTTTGAATGTTCAGTTTCTTGTGCACTCCATCTCCTTCGGATCAAGTTTTTAAGGTTCCCCCCTCCACTTTCAACACCCCCCATCCCAAAATTTTCTCGATATTACCAAGTTTTGGATTCCCCCCTATGGGGTTCGAAATCTCATCTTCCTTGATCAAGGAATTTTTTTGGATTGTGACCTCCGTCCACCCCCCAATCCCACAAAAAGTTTCTCATAGATACCAAGTTTTTTGATCCCCCTATGGGTTTTCGGAAATTCTTCCAATTCCTATGGATCAAATTTTTGGTACCCCTCCTTTCACCCCAATTTTTCTCGATAATACCAAGACTTCCATGCTCCTCAGATCAAATTATTTGAAGGTTCCCCCCCCTCCCCACTTTCACCCCCCAATCCAAAAATTTCTCGAAATACAAGTTTTTGGATTCCCCCCCCCCAATGGGGGGTTTGAATTTCTTAGATCACCTTGGATCAAATTTGGATTACCCCTCCCAATACTTTCACTCCACCCCAAAATTTCTCGTTAATACCAAGTTTTTTGGGTTTTCCCTCCTATGGGGTTTTTCGAATTTCTCACATCTCCTGGTTCAAGGTTTTTTGGATTGCCCCCTCCGTCACCCTCCCCCATCCCCCAAAAAATTTTCTCCAATATTACCACGTTTTGCATTCCCCCCCTCTGGGTTTGTTTTTCGAAATTCTCCATCTCCTCGATCAAATTTTTTGAGGTTCCCCTCTCACTTTCCCACTCCCCATCCCACAATTTCACATATCCAATTTTGTGGATTCCCCCTATGGGGGTTTCGGAAAATCACCATCTCCTCGATCAAGTTTTTTTTGGGATTCCCGCCCTATGGGGGTTTTCCGAAATTCTTATGATCTCCTCGGATCCCCCCATCCCATTTTTCTTTCATTCACCCCCACCTCCACCAAATTTCTCGATATTACCAAGTTTTGGGGGGGATTTCCCCCCTATGGGGGTTTCGAAAGTCCCTCCTCGGATCAATTTTTGGATTCCCCCCCCTATGGGGTTTTCGAAATTCCTCGGATCAAGTTTTTGGAATCCCCCCCTCTGGGTATAAGCATTCAAATGAAACTCCTCCTATGGGGGCATGCTTACTACAGGTCAAAACAATCTTTCCCCTTATTTATTTTTAAATGAACAAAACCGTCCGCTCCAATAAGTAAATGAACTAAAAGTTTCCTCTCATTAAGTTTATATGAACTAAAAAAGGCGTGTGTACTCGGCGTCATGGACGTCACACACATACAAAGCTAAATCTTGTCGCGCTACCACACCCAATGTCATGGACGTCACGCACACAGGCTGAATCATGACTACCCTTAGTTCATTAAAGTTAATAAGGGGATATAGTAACCTACATCATAGGGAAGACATTTTCCATCATCAGAAAGTCACATTTTTGTTTTCGTTAATACCCAGGGGGGGGAATGAAACAATCAACAATTATTCTTACAACACAAGTCTAGACAGTTTTTTAACTATTTCATCTCGGTCACGCCCCCCCACGAAGTAACCTCCTCCCACCCTCCCCGAACCCTCACACTCCAACCAACACCTCACAATTTTTCACAATCAGAACCCCCAATTTTTCTCGTTTGAGAACACCGCGTTTAGTTCTTTAAGTTATTAAGGGATACAGTACATCAGCAAGTCACCACAACACTATACCACTTTTGATTAATTCACTAGTCCACAATTTTACAATATTACGAAGTTAAATACGCACTTTTACTTTGAACACACCTACAAAAACACTCTCTTAAATCATTGAATACTCACAAAAATACCATTATACATTTCCAAACAAACTGAAATACTCCAAAACATCAGTCGAGACAACCGCCCAAAATCGACCCTCTGCATACTCCCAGAACACCTTCATAGTAACTCCTTGCACATCATTTGAACTCCGTCATAAGTACTCTCATAATCATTTGTACACCTTCAAAAACACTTTGAAATACTCACATAAACACCCTGAACACGCAAAACACTTTGAATAACATCAAATCACCTTGAACACTTCATAACCCGTGAACACCCTTGATCACCTTCAAAAAAAACAACATTGAACACACTCAAAACACCTTGAACACCTTTGAACATTTCAAACAACACTGAACTCTTCCAAATCACCATTTGAGTACGCCCCAAATACACCACTGGATACTAAAACACCACTGAATACACTCAAAACACCACCAAAATCACCATAGAAACACTTCCAAAAAACACAATTTGAGTACTCGCCAATTACTCCACTGAATACTACAAAAACAACCACTGAATTCAATCAAAAACACATTCACCAACACCTTCAAACACCCTTGAACCAACCTTCAAAACTCTCTTGTATACACGTTTCAAAAACACTTTGAACATTTCCAATCACACTGAAACATTCATCAAAAAAAAAACAATTTGAGGTACTCCAAATTACACCTCTGGATACTTAACTAAAACACCGCTGAATTCTATCAAAACACCCTTCAACACCTTCAAAACACCTTTGAACACCTTGGAACACCTTCAAAAAAACAACAAGTTGGAACACACTCAAAACACCTTTGAACACCTTGAACATTCCAAAAACACTGACACACTTCCAAAAACACCATTTGAGTACTCCCAAATACACCACTGAATACTAATACACCACTGAATACACCTCAAAACACCACAAAATCACCATAAACTAAGATCAACACACATCCCACAACACCCACAACCCACAACACCCACATTTTTTCTCGTGTTATATAATTTCATCAGAAGTCACAACACCCACACCCCCCCATTTTTTTCTCGTTTTAACCCTTTTAGTTCCATAAAGTTAATAAGGGACAGCACAAATCCAGAAAAGTCCCAACAACAACCCACTTAAAATTTTTTTTCGTAGC